AAAACCTCACAACCCGCCTGCCAGAAGCCTGTTTTTAGGGTTCAGTCATAAAAGCAAGAGATGTGCTATTTTAACGCACAGTGACATTTTTGTGATGTGGTGACGTGGGATCTGAAAATCTGATGACCAAAGTAGTTCTATTGGTATTTACATAACTGAGTCAAACTTTCAAAAATACGTTCATTAACACATTTACACTTGGGACACAGTAAGAAAGCTCACACGAGAGAGTTAAACACAAAGTGAAGGAAAAGGATGGATTCTGTACAAATCCAGATGCGGCGCTGGCCGAACTTGGCACGCTTTATGTACCAGAGGGCATCTACTGTGCAGCAGCAGCAGCAGCAGCAAGCTGAGCTGCAGTTTATTTTACGATGCGCACACATGTGATTTGGTATTGGCTTGGTAATTACGCGGCTAAATGGGAAGCATGCAATAATTACCTCAGAATTACCTTGTTTGTTTCATTTGGTTTTAAACGGCAACAAACAAGGCCAGACTTAATTTACCGCTCTGTGTAAATGTTGGCCTTCTGCTTATCCAACATAATAATAATGGTGATGATAATAATAATAATCTGGAAAATTATGTTCTCCCTAATATACTTAAAAATAATGTAAAAGATCCACATTTTACTCAGAAAATTAAAATAAAAAAGAATTGTACTCATTCTTGGAATTTTGTTAAATGTGTAAACTTTTAAATATATATGCAATAATTCTGATACAGCTGAGTTCCTATTTTGATGTACAAAAATAAATAACTTGCATTATTTACAAACTATTAAATCATCCAAAATAAAATAATAGATGTGCAAAGGGGCGATCAGTGAGTTTGGCTCAATAATTTAAAAGTATTAATTAAAACAAATTAGAAACTTTAAAGATTAAAACTAAAATATTCTAATATGATTATCCAACAGAAGCAATTTAAAACAAATCCTCATTTTTAAAAGCATTTAGCATCTATAACAAAATATGTAACATGATAATATTAAGGTCAAACTTTTCTACATTCTATGTGAGGCAAAAGGCTTTTCTCCACGTTGGTAAAACGTTGCTGGTCCCACAGACACACAAACTTATTCTGAACTGGATTAATGACCACACCAGGGTCACCGACACCCACACGTTAAGCACAAAACAAGAACAGGAAGATGAGCAGTGTCATCTCTACAGTACCTACAAGAGCAGACGAGGCAGGTCCACATTCATATCCAGAGTGAGTTTTATGCCGACAGACACCATCTCTGTCTTTCAACACAACGCAGGAATAAAAACATTTAAAATTCTCAGAGTGACTGCTGTCCTACTCATACCTGCTGACTGACATTCTCACAATGACTCAGGGGAGGACGGCAGCTAAGAACAAACACCTCCCACCTG